AGTCTTCACAGAGTGAGGTTCCACTGGTGGTGTAGTTTAACACAATGACCATGGCTTCTCAGTCTGTTGCAGCCTTCCTCCGCCTTCACACCGTTGTAACATGTACCATGTTATCCTCCGCCTGCTCCGCCGTTGAGGTCTTTGGGTCTTTGGACTGTGCTTGGTCTGGAACTTCCCTCGCGGCCACTCCTGGGAGTGCACGACTCCAGTTGTTGTGCCCGCAGATTCATTGGAACACACAAACCCCCTCACCACGACAAGTACAGAGATATAGAATGCAAAGATACAGAATGGGGGACAATGCCTGGCTAGAGAGCAGTACGTGGAAAAAGATCTTGGACTCCTCGTGGACAACAAGTTAAACATGAGCCAGGAATGTGATGTGNGTTGTGCCTACAGGTTCATCGGAACGCGCAAGCCCCCTCACCACGACAAGGTGACAGTCCATCGAGGGGGCTTTGCATAATACTAAGGCCAAGACAATATTTTTTTGGTTGAGCCGTGTAATCAATGGCGAGTGTATTTTCAGCATCCCAGTAGCCTGAGGTTCATAAACCATTCGAATGGGGGAGAATCACAAGACCGACTCCACTACACATTGGCAACGCTTTTGCGTTGTGAATCACCCACCGTACGCCCACAAGTTGTAGCTCTGGAGCAGTGCATCACCAACACCAAATAAGTCTTATTGTTTCAGAAATAGCATCAGCTCTTCTCACACCTCATCAGCAGAGCAGCAGCTGGTCCCCACTCTCCCTGTTTCCTGCCTTTCCTGGGAGGAATCAGCAAAGCAGAAAGGCTGCCGGAGAAATCATCCTGCGTCAACTGCTTCTAGCCAGCTCTGATCCTCCTGAGAGCCTTCTGGTCGGCAGCCTCTGTCTGCCTGGAGTTAAGTCATGAGTGGCCGACAGCATTCAACCAAAGAGCCCAAATCATCAGCATAAAGATACACCAATGTAGGTGGAAGTTGAGGTATAGTGCTGCTGATCCACCCGAATAGTCCTGATAATGTGGCAGAGGCTATTGTGTGTTTTGCACAAGTTCTGCCCTAATGATTTTATATACGCTATATTTTTTCCTATGCTAGCTTTGGCAGGAAGAACAGTCTCTCAAGGGACAATCCCAGAAATGTACAAACATGCAATCAGATCAATAATTCCCTCCAAGTTATTATTGTTGTACTTATCATATCTATATAAATAAAAATGCAATGTTGGTTTGTGGGATTAACAGAACTCAGAAACCACTGGACAAATTGACACCAAGTTTGGACACAAGACACCTAACAACCCAATGTATGTCCTTCACTAAAAAAATTGATTTTGTCATTTGGGAATTGTAGTTTCGGGGATTTATAGTTCACCTACAATCAAAGAGCATTCTGAACCCCACCAACGATGGAATTGAACCAAACTTGGCACACAGTTCTCCCATGACCAACAGAAAATACTGGAAGGGTTTGGTGGGCGTTGTCCGTTGATTTTGGAGTTGTAGTTCACCTACATCCAGAGAGCACTGTGGATTCAAACAATGATGGATCTGGACCAAACTCTACACGAATACTCAATATGCCCAAATGTGAACACTGGTGGAGTTTGTGGAAAATAGAATCTTGACATTTGGGAGTTGCAGTTGTTGGGATTTATAGTTCACCTACAATCAAAGAGCATTCTGAACCCCACCAACGATAGAATTGGGCCAAACCTCCCACACAGAACCCCCATGTCGGCCACAGCAACGTGTGGCAGGGGACGGCTAGTATTTACATAGAATCATAGAGTTGGAAGAGACTTTGTGGGCCATCCAGTCCAACCCCCTCTCAAGAAGTCAGAAAATTGCATTCAAAGCACTCTCAACAGATGGCCATCCAGCCTCTGCTTAAAAGCCTCCAAAGGAGGAGCCTCCACCACACTCCGGAAGAGAGAGTTCCACTACTGAACAGTTCTCACAGTTAGGAAGTTCTTCCTCATCCTCAGGTGGAATCCCCTTTCCTGTAGTTTGAACCCATTGTTCTGCATCCTAGTCTCCAGGGCAGCAGAAAACAAGCTTGCTCCCTCCTCCCAATGACTTTCCCACATATACATCGCTCCAGGCATGTAGGGGGGGGGGGCTTGGGGGCTTCAGCCCCCCCCCCCCCCAAATTCTCATGGTGGTCTGCGAAAAGGCCTTACTGGTACATTATTTAAACTGTTATGTTTATTCATATCATGATCTGATCACCATGCTTAATATATCCCATATGCACGGGGGTATTGGGGTAACGATACAAAAGGTTTGCTAGGGTAGACCCTCTTTCACTCACCCCCCCCCCCCCTCTTAATTTTTTTTACCCCCCCCCCCCCCCCCGAAACGAAATCCTGGCTACGGGCCTGCATTGTCCTCATGTCTTCTCTCAGCCTTCTCTTTTGCAGGTTAAACATGTCTAGCTCTTTAAGCTGCTCCTCATGGGGCTTGTTCTCCAGACCCTTGATCGTTTTAGTCGCCCTCCTCTGGGCACTTTCCAGCTTAGGGTCAACATCTCCCTTAAACTGTGGTGCTCAGAATTGGACACAGTGTGATTCCAGGTGTGGTCTGACCAAGGCAGAATAGAGGGGCAGCATGATTTTCATGGATCTAGACACTAGACTCCTATTTAAGCAGGCCAAAATCCCATTGGCTTTTCTCACACACCCCCCTCTCTATATATACTTTTAATATGTTTACAGTACAGCTGTCCCTCCACATTTGCAGATTTGATTACATTATATAACATGATTTTTGTTTCAGGGTTGTAAATGTCATTTCCTAATTGGTTCTATCATAAAAACATGGAAAATGTTTTATTAAACTGCCAAAACTTTGTTTCTGTGGGACATCCTGCAGCACATTTTGCTATAGTTTTTCAACAGCAACAGCAACCACATTGTCTGTAGCTTCCTCTGTGTATGAGGCAAGCAAGCATACAGATGCAGAGTTGTCTGTTCCGCTCCACAGTCACACAAAGAGGAAGATTCTTCTAGGTAGTGCCATAGTGCCATTTTGACAGGTTGTCTTTTGATCTGCCCACTTTGCTTCTAAGTCTGTTCAGGACTTCCAAGTTGCCCATTCTTGGTTTGCCGTCCAGTTGGGATTTCCTGGTTTAGTTGCCAAGAGGGATAGCCTTGCTGTTGGTGGGTGAACGTTAAGAGGAGTGGTGGTTCTCATGAAGCTTTTCCTTGATTTGAGTCTACTGGGAGGAGGCTGGTAGCTATGCAGTGGGTGGCTTTCACAGATTTTCAGATGTTCTGAGAATATTTCCATATACATATTGAGATATCTAGGAGATGGGACCAAAGTCTATATGTGAAATTTATTTATGTTTCATAGATACCTTAAACATATTTTATATACAATATTAAGAATTTAGTGCATGAAATGAAGTTTGTGTACATAGAACCATCCAAAAGCAAAGGTGTCACTATCTCAGCTATCTATGTTGTCAATTTCAGATTGTGAAGCATAGCTAATTTCCAGATAAGGAATTTCCTGGACTGTTATCCTTTTAATTCTTTATATTTGAAAAATTGCAAGCTGTCTTAAAGAGACATTTTGCCTGCAAGGTGATATACAAATGTATAGAGGGAAACAAAGAGGGAAATCCAAGGGAAAGAGTTCCAGTTCTGGTTCACAGTAAGTACATTCTACTCCCAACAGTCCTTTCAGTCCCATAATAGTGATACAATCTTTGCTAAATGACTCTCAGTAGCAAAAGCAAAAAGTTAAAGAATATGTATCTTTGTATTGTCGAAGGCTTTCATGGCCGGAATCACTGGGTTGTTGTAGGTTTTTCCGGGCTATATGGCCATGTTCTGGAGGCAATTTTTCTCCTGACGCAGGAGATGCAGGCGAAACGTCAGGAGAAAAATTGCCTCCAGAACATGGCCATATAGCCCGGAAAAACCTACAACAACCCAATATGTATCTTTGTGCCTAAATCTGATACAATTGCACAGAACCTTTGAATCTAAGGCAGTGTTTCTCCACCTTCATAATGCTGCGACCCCTTAATCCAGTTCCTCATGTTATGGTGACCCCCAACCATAAAATTATTTTCGTTGCTACTTCATTAACTGTAATTTTGCTACTGTTGTGAATCATAATGTAAATATCTGTTATGCAGGATGTATTTTCATCAATTGGACCAAATTTGGCACAAATACCCCATATGCCCAAATCTGAATACTAGTGGGGTTGGGATTGATTGTGTCATTTGGGAGTTGTAGTTGCTGGGGTTTATAGTTCACTTACAATCAAAGAGTCTTCTGAACTCCACCAATGATGGAATTGAACCAAACTTGGCACACAGAACTCCCATGACCAACAGAAGATACTGGAAGGGATTGGTGGGCATTGACCTTGAGTTTTGGAGTTGTAGTTCACCTACACCCAGAGAGCAAACAATGATGGATCTGGACCAAGTCTGGCACAAATATCAATATGCCCAAATGTGAACACTGGTGGAGTTTGGGGAAAATAGACTTGACATTTGGGAGTTGCAGTTTCTAGGATTTATAGTTCATCTACAATCAAAGAGCATTCTGAACCCCACCAACAATCAAATTGGGTCAAACTTCCCACAGAGAAACCTCATGACCAACAGAAAATACTGTGTTTTCTGATGGTTTTTGGCGACTCCTTTGACACCCCGTCGCGACCCCCCAGAATGTGGACTTAACAAGCTCTCTGATTCAAGTTCTTTTGTTCTAATTGGGACTAATTATTGGATTCAGGAGCCTCAGGCTCTATTAAGAAGATCTTTGTTTATGTAGACTGATGTTTCCTAAGCCTCTAGGTGTTTTGGATATTAGCTCCCATAAACCCTAATCAGACAATTCAGCTGAAGCAGTTGAAGTTCAAAACACTTGGAGGACAACATTGGGAATCATAACCCACGCACCTTCGATAAGAACACAACAGCGAAAGCATGCTCCCTTTCTGTCTCGCATTTCCCATCTCATCCCCCAACAACACAAGAAACCATATTTGGAGGCTCTTTTTTTAATTTGAGGCAATAGGTCTCTATCCAGGATGCATATTAAGGCAATTGTGGCTCTACAGCAGACAAGTGTGCAGGTGATGCACGCCACCATCGCCCCTGTCTAAGCAGGGGAAGCGACTCCAGATCCACTTTGTGGATAACCAGAAACCAACTGCGGAAACTTTCTCACACCTTTCCAGGATCTTCCTTTAGGGTCACTGTCCGGTTGAACACAAGCTGAAGAAGAAGCAAAGGATATTAGGAACCTAGCTCATCTACCCCAATGCCACTACCACAATTGCCCATTTTAGAGGCCACTCCATGCCTCTAATGGCTTCAGAGGGAGGACTTGGGAAATTCACTGTTTTCAATTACATTTCTTAGGACAATCCAGCTAGCATCCCATGTAGCTGTAAGATTCTAGGAGCAGTAATCCTAGTAAGTGAGTTTTCCCAGCATTATTCAAGGTCCTAGACAATATAATGGGCATTGGTTGATGGTATTTAATTGCGCTGAATGATGTACAATAACAACAAAGTGATTCTGTTCTATTCTATAGAGTGTTAGGGTTGGGAGCCCCTAGGAACATTTTCCCCCCTCTGGGACCTCCAGGGAGTGTCATTTATTTCACATTAAAAAAAAAACCATTTTAGACTCAGGAAAAGGCTTTTTAAAAATTTGAAGTGGCTTCTAATCAATTCTTGTTGTGAAACAAGACCTCTCCTAGGTCTAAAATGGTCCAGAAGGCTCTTAAACATGCCAAATGTGTCCTGACAAAACCTAAAGGGCTTTGGGGACAGAAATTTTTTTTGGTGTTCTGTGCATTGGGGAATGTTACAGCCCCAAGGTCTCCCACATAGAAGGCTAAGGCAGCCCCCTAGCATCCCATTGTTGCCCACCCATTCACATTTTTTTTCCTGGAACTCACCTTTGCATTTGTTGTGTCAGGATCTACAGAGAAATAACCTAGACGCTCAAACTGGAATTTGGTAAATGGTTTAGCGCCACTCACTGATCTGTCCACCAGAGCCTTCTCAATCACACTGAGAGAATCCTGATGGGAGGAGAAAGATTTGGAAATTGAGATGATAAAAGCTGGCAATGGGCCTTCTTCTCAGAAATGTGCTTTGCCAAAGCTTCTTTATCCTCACAAACATGCATACATATATATTGCTTGTAACTCATAGCGCATATACTATTATAACTACTTGGCTCCACCAATATTTCTATGATTGGCTTGACAGAGGCACATTTCTAAAGCAGCTCAGATGGATCATGACTTTCCAATTCACCAACACTTCCATCCAAATATATTGGTGTTGATTGTAATTTGGTGTACATTGGTAAGGCAATGAATTTTGACACTATTTCTGTGTATACAGATTTGACTCCCCCCCCCTCCCCAGGGGTGAGAAAAGTGGTATATAAAAAATAAAAAATAAATATATTAAATTAGGTACCCAAAAATATACAGTTTTCTCTTTTGATAGGAGAGGCATCCCTGGTAATTTCCTGGTATATTATTAATGCTGTCTTTAATACGTGCCTGAGCTCAACCATATGCCATTACTGTTACGTCTTCAAATCTCTGTCGTTGAATCTTGTTGTGGCTGTGCACCTTCTAGTGATTTCCGATTTATGACAATCCTAAGTGACTCTGTCATGGGGTTTGCTTGTCAAGATTTGTTCACAGGCGTTTGTCTTTGGCTTCCCCTGAGGCCAAGAGAATGTGATTTGCCCCAGTTCACCCAGTACGTTTACATGCTTGATCTCCAGACTCATAGTCCAACATTCAAACCACTGCATCACACTGGATGTCTTATAGTTTTCTAGCTTTTCCTTTAGTAGTGGTAGTAGTATTAGTAGTAATAAAACTTTATTTATATCCCACCCTATCTCCCCGAGGGGACTCAGGGTGGTTTACAACAGATATTGGCAAGCATTCAATGCCATGAGAAGCTGAACAAAGAAAAAAAAAATCAACCCCGCCCCCAAACCCAAAAACAAATCCACATCTACACCAAAAATAATAATCTATTATACTGCAATATTATATGTAATTTATATTATTATATATTATTATATTGTACTATATTGTTATACCACGATATATATAATACATTACCAGTACATTACATTGTTAGTGCCATATAAGTTGTAATATAAACAATAAATATATTATTTTACAATATTATTCATATTACATACAATATACCAGCACTTTTACATTATAATGTTTAAACTTTAAGTAAAGTTTCCTTTATTGTACCTTCCCTCATACATCCTTCCCCATGCACACAACCCCTTCCACCCACCCAAGGTTTTTGGACCCATCACTCACAGGATTAACATCACTCAGGAATCCCCCTGGCACCTCTGCAGGATCTTCTGGATTCTTGTGCAGAAACCTGCAAGTCAAAGGGTTAAGTCACCTTTATGAAGTGGACTGATTTGCTGGAATATGATGATGATAAGGACAGATTGTCTGATATTTGCCGGGCACAGTGGCCCTCTCTTTCCTTTGAGGATCTAACTGAACCACACAGATACATCTGGCCTGAATCACTGGATTGAGCAGAGCAAGTAAGGTCAAGAAAATCTTCCTGGAACTCTTCTCCATACTGTCTTAGCAGGAAAGAACAAGGTAACTATTATACCAAGGAAAAGCTTCTTTATTTTGCAATAAAGCAGCTAAGATATTCTACCTTCTACCACTCAGTGCTAGGTGAAAAGCACAGGGATGCTTAGTTTTAGGTTGGGAGACAAAATCACTGTATGACAAGGACAATTGTTTTCTTGCAAAACCAGTGTTTGCAGCCCATCATTTGAACGGCACTATTGTGCATTTTCAGGCACAATCTAATGTGCTGGCTTGAACCTTTGATTGCCTATATCACTTGGGATCCAGATAGCTTCCAAGTTATGCCTAAATAGCAAGGGTAAAATGTGGCAGCCATCTTCAATGGCAATTAAGATCACTCTGAATGTGGAAGGGAGTCAGGTGGTCCACTGCCAGCTATAACAGTTGGAACAATCAACAATCTATGGTATTTTATAAAAAAAATTGTGATTTGGATCTCTTTTATATGGAAAATAGTGTGAATTCTTTTAACGGATTGTATGAATTAGGGAGCCCCCGGTGGCGCAGCAAGTTAAACTGCTGAGCTGCTGAACTTGTTGACTGAAAGGTCAGCGGTTCAAATCTGGGGAGTGAGATGAGCTCCCGCTTTTAACCCCAGCTTCTGCCAACCTAGCAGTTTGAAAACATACAAATGTGAGTAGAGCAATAGGTACCGCTCTGAAGGAAGGTAACAGCACTCCATGCCATCATGCCGGCCACATGACCTTGGAGGTGTCTACGGACAATGACTTAGAAATGGAGATGTGCACCACCCCCCCAAGTTGGACACGGCTAGACTTAATGTCAAGGGGAAACTTTTCCTTTTCCTTTATGAGTTATTAGACAAAGTTTTGTTTCAGACCATTTTACTTTTGTTTTGGACCATCTGATATCTGAGGATGGGTAAAACAATAGTGTCCAACCTTTGGTCCTCCAGGTGTTTGGGACTCCAACTCCCAAAAGCCCTGTGCAGCTCATCTGATGCTCAGGAATTCTGGGAGCCGATGTCCAAAACAACTGGAGGACCAAAGGTTGAACACCACTGGGTTAAAGTGAGACAGGAGAAGAAGGAGATGCAGATGGAACCTGCTTTCCACTCTGTTAGCTTTCCTTCTTATTAGAATATCCAAAGACAAAATGATTATGGGAAATCCAGCTGGCCTTTTCACCAGGCTTCCCCTCACCTGAGTTGATTCAGAACCGTTGCCATTCCAATACTTACAGGCGCTCATACTGTCGAACCTCACAAACAAGAGGATCTGACACCCAGTGGATAAAGGCCTTGGGCTTCTCTGCTGCCTCTGACTTGGTGCAAGTCACCTCAAGCTCTCGTATACATCCATCACTGTCCTGGATAGAGATGTGGAGGTCAGTTCCATGGAGAAGCCATCTAGTGTCTTTGCCTTTTTATTTCATGGGTGTCTGTGCCTTGAACTCTTTCCTTGTTGGAAATAGCAACCTTCTCAAGCCTCGACTAGTTGTTTGTTATGTATATACCAGCACTATTACATTACTTACTATTACAGCACCATTACATTGCTAATTGCTTGCTGTATTGTATGTGTATATCAGTTTGCAATTTTAACTAACCTTTTTGCAGCGGGAGGGGCTGCAGACCATGTGATCAGGTCTGGACATGTTTCAGGACTAAGACTCCATTGTAGTTTGTAGAAGCTATTCGGCTCTTAGAGAGCATAGAAGCCATCTGTATGCCTTCAGACAGATATAGGAACAGTATGCTATACAGAAGCTCCTTTGGATTACGGACTATTCTAAGGAAGAGGCCCTGTGTTACCTACACAGAGAAACTACTTCAAATCCTATTGTAACTGGATTCATAAACAAAGTGCCTGTGTGCTGTATATATGAAGTTTTGTGAGTAAACCAAATGTTACTTTTAAAGAAGACTGTTTATTTGTCTCTTGAAAGCATGATTTAAAGGCAAATATATTTTAAGGGAGAGTATATGTTTTTTGGGCAACTAAAGAAACACATCTCCTGAATATATATATTTTGTGCATTGGCATGCCTTTGTCCCTAGCAGTTCAAAGACATACCTGGGTACATCAGTTTAATAGCTGAGAGACCTAGTTATCTTGCATGAATGCTGGTGAACATCATTTTTCAAAAGGTTGTGACTCCTAACAAGGGCATGCCTTTCCAGTCACCAGTGACTTTCCAAAAAGGTTATGAATCCCATTTCCCAAATGGTTATGGAGATTCACATTTTCCAAAATCCCTCTCCCCAAACATAGCTTTTTTAACGGGACAAGCTGTCTCTCTCATTGCTTCAACTAAAAATAAGAACTCCCTTACTGTAAGAGCTGATCAATGGTGGAATGTACTGCTACTGAGGCAGTACACTGGAGGATTTTTTTTAAAAAAAATCAGAGTTGGGTGGCCATCTGTTAGGATTGTCATGGTTGTATATCCTTGCATGCCAGAGGGCTGGGTTAGATAGTTCTTGAGGTCTCCTCCAACTCTTCAATTCTATGATTTTGATCAATGATGAAAAGTGGATCAATTTACTAATCCTATTTCTTCTTGTTTCAGCACTCTGGATCAAAAGCCATTTATCCAAACCTGAAATCACAACTGGGTATTTCCCCGAAAAGTTCCTCACAGTCATAATTCACTTACTGAGTAGTATCTGGCTGTTTTATTGTTGTACTTATATTTTAACTGTTGGAATTTGTATGTTTTTATGCTGTAAGCTGCCTTGAGTCTGTAAGCGGAGAAAGGAAGGATAGAAATGTCCTAAATAAATAAATAAAATACTTATTGGGAAGTCAGGGAATCTACTTTCTGTTCTATGCTCCCTAAACTGAGCATTTTGCTCTAAATACCATGAAATATCAAGGTAAAATTCTATAGTGTTTTTCTTTTTCTACTTATGTTGAAAAGGGGTAGACCTAAAAAATAATAAACTCAGCCTATCTGAATGTGATTTCCAACACTAGTAGATTCATCACTAATAAGGCCCTGCTACACTGAGTGATGAGAGCACTCTTTCTGAAAATGAACAAGCAGCATCATAATCACTTGCTTCCTTTTGTACTGTATCTGGAAGAATAAAATACTCAACTGGAGCATATGAACATCGAAATAAGATGTCAGGGAAAACAGCCTGGGGAAAAATGTCCCACCAAAGGGTAACTATGGCCTTTGCAAAAGAGACACTTAGCTACAGAAAACTGTGCAGGAGGGCTACAGAACAGGTTTTAGGGTGGATGAGTGATGATAATGGAGTCCCTCTCCCCCTTTTCTATTATTGCGGATCATTTTACTGAAATATAAATACAAAACCTTAAAATAAAACAAATAAAACAAATTGGATTCCACTGCTTGTTCATACATTTGAACAAAACTCATTGGTGGATAGAAAAAGGGAAAAAAAACAACAATACAAGGCTGGGCCAAGCTTGACTCAAGGAGCATTCCTACACTGTTGCAACCTTAGCTTTAAGGAAAGGTCCATCTGTTGAGGGTGCTTTGATTGTGGGGGGGGGGGGGGGGGGGGGTGTGGATTGGATGGCTTTTGTGGCCTCTTCCAGCTCCAAGATCCTAGCTCCTGGAAAAGGTGGTGAGGCTAATTTGAGCCATGGCTGTCTCTCTCTATTGGCTGAGTGCTATTATGACTGGAGCAGAGGGTGATATGCATGGCTTTCTAGATCTTCTTGGGTTACAGTGTCTATCAACCTTGATACATTTTGCTTAGCAATGATGGAAAAGACAGTTCATCAACATGTCAAAAGCCAAAATTTCTCACAGCTCTCTAGGGTTTATTTTACAAGAAAGGGGCTTGTCAGCAAGCACCAAACCAAACTCACCTTAATAATGTTCTGGACAGAAATGACATACCCCGTATGCCTCAGACCCACTGGCTGACCAGGCGCAAGGCGTTTGTAGCCTTTATCTGGAACCTGACAGAAAAGAGAAGACCAAACATCAGAGAAGACCAAAAGAAGAAAGGGGTTCATTTAATCAACTATCCGAAGTAAAGGTAAAGGTTTTCCCCTGATATTAAGTCCAGTCGTGTTCGACTCTGGGGGTTGGTGCTCATCTACATTTCTAAGACAAAGAGCCGGCGTTATCCATAGACACCCCAAGGTCATGTGGCCAGCATGACTGCATGGAGCACCGTTACCTTCCCGCCAGAGTGGTACCTATTGATGTACTCACATTTGCATGTTTTCAAACTGCTAGGTTGGCAGAAGCTAGGCCTAACAGCGGGAGCTCACCCCGCTCCACGGATTTAAACTGCCGACCTTTAAGTCAGCAAGTTCAGCAGCTCAGTGGTTTAACTCGCTACGCCACAGGGGGCAACTATCCTATCATATTATAAATACTATTAGATTACAGGCTCTTAAGAGTACAACTATGCGTAGACTCTACTCTTGGAAGACAATCATATTCAAACATGAGTGATCACCTATAGTATAGTAAGGTATAATCCTAATAAAAGCTGTTTCATGGATCCCAGAGTCAGAAGGAAGTATCCACCATATAATTTTGGCTCAGACAGAATCATACAGCTGAGAGTCGTGGTGTTTGAGCTGTTTGCTGAGGCCAGGCATGCACAACATATGACCCCCAGAAGCTGCTGAAATGTAAGCCTCATCAATTGTAACCACATATCGTATTGGAGGTGAAGGGAACTATTCAATACAATCTGGAGGATCACAAGCAGGAACTAAGGTAGTAACAGGGCAAACATTTAGTTTGAGAAAATTCTATTTCCATGCAAGAATCGTCTGCTGTGGAAAGGGGTAGAGTTGGGGTTTCTGAAGAAATCTGGCCAAGAGATGTAGTGATTAGAGAGATGTAGTGATTGGTGTTTTTTTCCTCTTTTGAAACCATAGAAGAGATGGGTGTTAGAGTAACTCAGACCCAGTGATTATTAAGAAATGCAGTTATTTCTTATTGTAAATAAACCTTTTGTGATTTTTTAAAGATTGGACTCTGCATGTTTGCCTCTTAAGATCTAAATTCTTTACAGCCACATCCCTTCGCGCTCTGCTCGCTAAGGATCTGATGCTCAACTTTTGTATCCTGTTTGGTTTTTGGATGCTCTGCTTTATTATTTTAGGGCAGTTTTACCTTATACAGGAGTATATATAGCATTCCCATATTGGTAAAGAGACTTTTCAGGTAAGCAACCTCAACTCAGCTACCATCTCTGGGAGATGCGTTGGCTGCTGTCTGCAGTCAGTCAAATTGTTATTCTTTTTTTCCATTACATGTTACTCTTGTATTGTTTGGGCAAGGGCCACTGCACTGCAGATTAATTCATTTCCCTCAGAAAAAAACAACAACATTTGGCTCCTGTAACTTGCAATGTATTTGAGTTTGGCACTGTCCCACTGTGTGGCTACATCTCCAGGCCTTCTGCCAGAGCAGTAAAACTGCTGCATTACCGAATCATTCAGTTGCAGGGAGGGCTAGTAAGTCAATTCTTCCTTCTCCCACATCATGCAGGAAATCCAGAATCAGGGCACCTCCAACAGCTGGCTATTTAGATTGACTGAATACTCTCCCATCCTAGTAAGGGGAAGACCCACATCCCCAGAAATAGGCTCCATTTTTGAACTGATGCCTGCTGTTTTATTGCTGAACTTCTCTTTTGAATCTTTTCCCTAGAAGCAGAGCACAGAACAATAGAAGTCTAAACTAGCCCTTCACTAATAGGTCGCCATTAACCATGCCAGACTGTTAGTGATTTAAATGCCAGATCCGTGTGCTCTGTTCCACAGACTAACCACTTGGTAGCCATTTTGCCATGTACCTTACTCATAAAGTCAGATGAATTAAAAAACTGTGCCAACCAGTACAAATCTTAAGATACATATACTTTAGTACCCATAATAAATTATTTTAAAACTCCATTTTACCCTTCATACGTGGACTACAACATCCTGAATCCCCAACCTGCAAACAACTTATTTATTGGGTTGTTGTAGGTTTTTTCAGGCTATATGGCCATGTTCTAGATGCATTTTTTCTTGACGTTTCGCCTGCATCTATTCAAGCATCTTCAGAGGTAGTGAGGTCTGTTGGAACTAGGAAAATGTGTTTATATATCTGTGGAATGTCCAGGATGGGACAAAGGACTCTTGTCTGTTGGAGCTAAGTGTGAATGTTTCAACTGACCACCTTGATTAGCATTTGATGGCCTGGCAGTGCCTGGGGCAATCTTTTGTTGAGAGGTGATTAGATGTGCCTGATTGTTTCCCCTCTATTTCCCTTTATTTATTCTACATGTGAGTAATGAATCCAGCACATCTGGAAGGGACTAAGTTAGGGAAGACTGGTATGGTCAGATTAATATGACAGTTCTCTAAATTGCCATCAAATATTATGACTGTACTATCTGGAATATTAATGTATAGTGAGGGAAGGTGCAGATCATGGTATGTTATTATTACGTTGTTGTTGTCATTTATTACCCGCCTTTCCTTACAGCTCGAGGTGGGTACAACAGTCAAAACACAAAAAAATAAAATGCATACACCAAAACACATGGTACAAAGCTCAAAATGCAGCATAATAGAATGCAAATCCAAAACTCATGGTTCAAAGTTGACTGGGTAGGCCTGCCAGGAGAGGTGGGCCTTTAGTTATGTTTTAAATTCTGACAGATCAGTTTATATTTTTATATATGAATGAATGAAACTTTATTTATGCCCCACCCTATCTCCCCAAAGGGATTCAGGGTGGCTCACAAACATTCAATGCCAACAATTATATATAAACAAATCAAAAACTATTGAATAAAGTATAAATCAACTTAAGTATAGATTTTGTTGCTTTGAAAGTATATTCAATACTTGTGTCCTTCTAAATAATAATAATAATAATAATAATAATAATAATAATAATACTTTATGTATACCCCGCCACCATCTCCCTGAAAGGTCTTGGGGCTGCTAATATGAGGCCAAGCGCAAACGAATTAAAATGGAGCAAAAATACATATAAACAAGACAATAACATCAAATCAAATGCATTTGTAATAACATAGTAAAATAAAAATAACAGAGTCATAATAAAAACAGATAATAAAATGGTAATAGAATTAGACAAAGAGAGCGAGGCCCATGACTAAAAGTAAATTGATAAAACCCATAGGTGAGGTAGGTAGTGTTCCCTAACAAATATATGGAGAGGGAAAAGCACCAATGCTGCCTCAGGGCTGACATTTCCCTGACTAGAAACAGAATGGTGCTTCTTTTAGGTTCTTCCAGGAAATTCCACTCAGAGAAGAGCATGATAGAGAGAGAGAGAGAGAGCCAACCAAGCTTCCCATGGAAAGGAATCCCATAGTCTCAGAGCAACCAATGAGAAGGCTCCCCACTCAAACTTCACCAAATACTCCAAAACAAAAACAAAAAGCCCTTCACTGAAAATCTTAACTCAGACAGAATAATAATAATAATAATAGTAGTAGTAGTAGTAGTAGTAGTAATAATCGTTGCTTAGATGATTAATTGGAACTTGTGCCACAAATACCATCTGCCTGCGACAAAGAACTGGTGGGATCACAAGCCTAAAAAAGTTACAGAAAATGAACACGTCAAACTCCTCTGGGACTTCCGAATTCAGACCAACAGAGTTTTGGAGCGCAATACTCCTGACCACAAGATCGTGTTAAAAAATAGAGTGTGGATCGTCGATGTTGCAATCCCAGGCAACAGCAGGATTGAAGAGAAACAACTGGAAAAGCTGACATGATATGAGGATTTAAAGATCGAACTGCAAAGACTCTGGCACAAGCCAGTAAAGGTGGTCCCAGTGGTGATCGGCACACTGGGTGCAGTGCTTAAAGCGCTTGGTCTGATCTTAAACACAATCGGCGCTGACAAGATTGCCATCTGCCAGCTGCAAAAGGCCACCTTACTGGGATCTGCAGGCATTATTCGTCGATACATCACACAGTCCTAGACACTTGGGAAGTGTCTGACATGTGATCCAATACAACAGCCAGCAGAGTGACCTTGTTTGCTGTGGACTCATCTTGTTGTGTTTCAGATAATAATAATAATAATAATAATAATAATAATAATAATAATAATAATAGGTTGCTGTGAGTTTTCCGGGCTGTATGGTCATGTTCCAGAAACATTCTCTCCTGACTTTTCACCCATATCTATTCAGCCATCCTCAAAGGTTGTGAGGTTTTCCAATATACCTCATAACCTTTTAGGATGCTTGGCATAGATGTAGGCAAAACGTCAGGAGAGCATGCTTCTGGAACATGGCCATACAGCCCGGAAAACTCACAGCAACCCAGTGATTCTGGCCAGGAAAGCCTTCAACAACAACAACAACAACAACAACATAATAATAATACTTTATTTATAACCCGCCCTCTCTCCCTGAAGAGACTCAGTGTGGTTTCCAAAGTATAAGAAAATGCCAAACATTCAATGCAAAAAAACAAACAAATAACAATCAAGATGAAACTTAAATGATATGAACTAAATATAACTTACAAACAACCAAAATTAACTAAGGATAAACTAGATAAACATAATATAAACACAAGGAGTCAAACCAATTAAAACACAATACATTAAAAACAGAATATGGTCTATCAACATCCGCAGGCTGAGGTGGGTATCAGATGTCAAGGTGAGGATGTGTGTAAAGTATGCTCCTTACATATTATCTTGCTTGCTACTGTCCCCAAACCCAATAAAAATATATGGAGATATGGCTTTTCTTTCAGAAAGTCTGGACTCAAGCCATGTAGAGCTATAAAGGTCACGGCCAGCGCTCTGTATTCTGCTCAAAAACAGATTGGTAATCAGTGGAACTGTTTCAACAGTGGAGTTATACAGCTCTTCCTTCCAGACTCACCTCACGGAAGTCACTCTGCTCAATGAAGACAGTCGGCTGGAAGGGGACTTTGTGGAAACCTTTGGTCTCATCCGCAGGGAAATTGGGTACAAGGACATCAATGGTCTGGAAGAAAGACAGAAGTGTTGCTATGTGTGCGCTCCAGAGCTGCTAAGAGACAACTAGGTGCCAAGAGGCAGGTGAGGCAGCCATTATTTATTTATTTATTTATTTAATGCATTTATTAACCGCCATTCTCAGCCCTCCAGGGCGACTCATGGCGGTGTACAGTATAAAAGGCAGCTTACAAAAAGGCAATTACAACAACTCATCAGCAATACAACAATACAACAATCATAGAATTACACTAACTAATCCGCTTCGTCTCGTAGTAGAATCGTAACCAATCCCATCATTTCCCCTATTTCTACTTTCTAAAAATCCCACACTTACTTTGTGGTCTTCAGGAAAATTGATGATGGTCACTCGCAGTGGCTCCAACACAGCCATAGCCCGCGGCGCCTGTTCATTCAGCACCTCCCGTACACAGGCGTCCAGCATGTGGGGCTCCATGGTGCATTGAGCAACCGTCACACCCACCTGTTGAGTACATGAAAGTCAGATACATGGAAAGAACTGTTCTACTTAGGAAGCATCACTTCATGGAAAATGATGCCTGTTGATTCCAGTCTAAAGTGTCAGAGCAGTATCCCTGTACATCAACGGGTGAAAAACTTGAAAAAGAAGGCACTGCTGCATTCATATCCTACTTGTGGACTCTCTACAGGTATTAGAGAAGCCAGAATGCTGGAATAGTTAAGCCTTTGGTCTCATCCAGGCCCTCCAGATGTTTGAGCCTACAACTCCCAGAAACCCTAGCCAGCTTGTCCACTGAAATATGGGAGCTGAAGTCCAAAACATCTGAAGGGCCACAAACTGTGCAAGCCTGGTCTAATGAGTCAACAAGACAGAAGTATCTTGGGATGGTGGCTCAGGCTGTTCAGTTATTATCCTTCATGTTTCCCAGTCAATTCTGTCTTCTAAACCAGGAGTAAGTAACTATTTCTCTGCAACATACCATAAAGTAAAGGTGTAAACCAGGGGTTCTCAACCTGGGGTCCCCAGATGTTTTTGGCCTTCAACTCCCAGAAATCCTAGCAGCTGGTAAACTGGCTGGTATTTCTGGGAGTTGTAGGCCAAAAACATCTGGGGACCCCAGGCTGAGAACCACTGGGTAAACTGTGTAGTCTCCTCCTACCCCACCTGCAAAATTCAGCTCCATATGTTGGCCAGAATTATTGGGAACAGCATTCTAACAACATGTGAAAAACTTGTCAGGGGCTTCACACCAGCAAGAAGTTGGCCTCAAGACATTTTTTTTCTCCAAGTTTCCATTACTTCTCTCCCTCCCATTATCAAATAGTAGGTAGTATCCTCCACGGGCCAGTGAATCTGCTCCAGGCTGAGTTCATACATTCAGGTTTCTTTACAATACAATATCTTCTCCCCCCCCCCCCCCAAGATCATACGAAAACCTGAAGTAGATTCATCACTTCACAACACCATTGCCCCAAATGTTTTGTTTTAAACACACATTGCCCCATCTGTGTTTTTGTCTTTTTCTTTCATATCTTCATTTTCCCCATCCCACTCCCTACTTCTCTTCTTTTCCTTCCTTCTACAACCGCAATTGCCACAATAAAGGAAAATCACTTGACTAAAACTAGTCACCCACAAAAGGCTTTTGAAATTAGGCTTTGTGTTGCCCACCCCATTCTCGAGGCATCAGTCCAGTTTTGTGCAGAACAACCATGACACTGGTACAGGAGGTATACTTTTAGGGTGTTTAGGAACACATAATGTTTCCTCCCACATTATGATTCTATGAAGCCTACTGTGTGTATTTTTACCTTAGCACAGAAGTTGCTGATGGCCTCTGCAGGAAAACCTCGGCGCCGCAGAGCTGTCAACGTAAAGAGCCGTGGGTCGTCCCAGTCCCTAGAAAATGCAGCACCAGCAGTGAGGAGCAGGGAGCTGAGCAGGTACCCCAGGTAATTCCTGCACACACCCCAAATACACAGACAATTTAGCCCAACCTGCCCTTACCTGACTGCCCCTGCCTCAACGAGGCGGATGATCTTCCGTTTGGAGACAACTGTGTAGAGGAGATTGAGGCGCCCATATTCCCACTGCACAGGGCAGTAGACATCCAGGGCATTGCAGAGCCAGAAATAGGAGGAGCGTCTGCCGGGAGAGAAGGAAACAGTGCCTATTTGAGCAGGTTTTGCATAGAGCAGGAGGCACAAGCCTCAGGCTGGCGAGAGCCATGTGTTCATGCATCTTCCTTTTTCTCAAATATTCTTGGCTTTCAGTGCCTATCTGATTTTTAGCAAGACAGTTTTTGACAGGAGCAGAAGTGCAGTAACTAGAAAGGGAATGAGCACAGATCAAGCCAATCTCTCTCTCTCTCCCCCTTAATCATGAGGACTAGAAACCCATCTTTCCAAAATCCTCAAAATACTTTGGCAGATGCTACTCCTGCACAGAGAATTAAGCCATCTCTACACAGTGAGAACTTGCAATTTCTGCATCAGTGAGATGATGAATACATTGCAAGTTTTAATGCACAATTTAAAGAAGCTAATTAAGGCCCCACCCACACTTCCATTATAATGCAGATTGAACTGCATTACATAGTCAGTGTAGACTCATATAATGCATAACCGTTCAACGACATGTCTTCGTACATCAGTTTAACAGCTGAGAAACCTAGGTGCCCTGCATGAATGCTGGTGGATGCAATTTTCCCAAAAAGGTTATGGCATCATTTTTTCAAAAAGTTTGTGACTTCTAGCAAGGTCTTGCCTTTCCAAAGATCATAAAATCTCCAAATGTTTATGAAGATTTCCATTTTCCAAAAACAACTTCCAGAGACCACTGCCTTGCACATTCAGGCTCATAGAATCCATCATCCCCCACAAGACCTTAGGTTCTCCAACCATGGGAGGAGGGAGTTCATTAAAGGCCATAGGAATCTCCCTTTCCTTCTTCCCCAAAAGGACAGCCCCACTGTGTCTCACCTTGCCTGAAATTCTTTGGTACAGAGCGAGTGAGTGATGTTCTCCAGGGAGTCACAGAGGCAGTGTGTGTAGTCATAGGTGGGGTAGATGCACCTGCAAAGCAGCCACAAGATCAGATCTCCAGAACTGTCCACCTCAATCTGGAAACAGATGCTTCTTCCCCATGGGTTCTCTTTATTTAATAGCACAGCCATCCATCCTCCCACACCCACCGACTTTTCCACAATCCGGAGCTTGCAAAATATATTCCTGTGGATGACCACTCTCAGAACCCCCTAGACAACATGGGAAGAACAACATGCACAAGCTGCACTATAACCTTCCTGTGTACTGGAACATAGACCCAAAACAAGACCAGCCCTTATATAAAGGATAACACTCTATATATCTTTCAAAACACGGTTTCCCCATATTAGAGAGTTCTGTGCAAACCTCTACAGCTCAGGGGAAATTCGGCAGCTAAATCAGCTATCAAAATTTAAGAGATAACTGAAGACCTATCTTTTCCTGCATGCCTTCCCCGTCAACTTTTAACTATGAATTTTAAATTGTACCATACATTTTAGTATGTGTATTTTACAGAAATACACCACAATGAAGAACCTAAACCAGAAACTCCTTCCTTCCCCTTACATTTTATCAGCCCACTGGCCCTAAAAAAGTGCTTCACAGTTTGTTTATTTATTTAATATATTTATACACCGCCTTTCTCACCACAGGAGGGGACTCAAGGTGGTTTTAAACATACTAATAGCAAACATTCAATGCCAAAATACATGTAAACAGAAAAAAATCATAACTAAACACTAAAATTGTAGCTATAAATTAAAACCATTAAACATGAGATCTAAACAACATTTAAGCATTAAAGAGAATTTAAACCCCTGAGTCCCTCTAGGGGTTGAGAAGGGTGGGGTAAAAGTGCTCGAAATAAATAAATAAATAAATAAATAAATAAATAAATAAATACACCCCAGTATAAATATTTAAAATCACATAATCCAAAATTCCTACAACGTGGTCACTCTGATTGTCATTGCACATCTTTTCTAATTATTCTTTGCACTGCATTATTTAACTTGGTCCCACAACCACATCTTTGTTTTCTTTCTGAGGGGTCAGGAGGGAGGGCACTGGTCTAATCTCGCTGGAGAGAGAGTTCCAGAGCCGAGGAGCCACCACTGAGAAGGCCCTGTCTCTCGTCCCCACCAACCACACTACAAAGCAGGTGGGGTTGAGAGCAGGGCCTCCCCAGAAGATCTTAACCTCCGTGACACAATGTTCAATGCAATCCCATTCAACATGAATTGAACCATATACAATATCTTGAGTACCATTTGTCCCCAGTGCGGTGGTGTGGGGTGTATTTGATGCGGTAAGCAACAGGGTCCATCTTTCCATCCTCCATTACCAACTTCATGCGCAGTGTGGCCTCACCCTCAGCAAACTTCCCTTTACGCATGTCCTATAGAGACACAACACACGGAGCTTTGAACCAGCTACTTATAGGTAAACAATTCCAGGTTATATACATGCCAATAAATTATAAAGCATACAAGGCAAAAGAAATGAAATGCAGTTGTTTTGTACCATGACTTCAACTACTTTTAAATAACTTTTTATCTTGAGTAAGTAGTAGTGATGGAAGGGAACAGACAGAACTGAATTAGGGATTAGGACAAATGGCAATAACTATAAAAAGAATGGGTGGTGGAGAGAGAATATAAAAACAATGCATTTGGCTACTGATACTTTTCTGACCCTTCATCAGCTATTACAGATGTAACCATGAGGGATGGAAACCTATTGTGAAATAGCCAAGATGGGCAAACTGACTGTGCTGATTGGGGAGAAATCCTTGACGAACTTTAGGAATAATTGGGACCTGTTCGTCACCAACACTGATGGGGTTATTTATCAACTATGGGATTAATTAGTAGAGCACTGCCAAAAGTAGGTGATAACATAATTGTTCAAGGGGTGTAGACCAATAAAGCATAACCATCAGCTAAAAACTGGGAAATTAGCAGTAGTTGTCTTTTAAATAGTTTAGTTCATTTGTAGTGAACAATGTTTTATACATTTAAAATGCTTCTTTGAGATTTATTTTTAACACAAATGAATATTATGTTAAAAAAAGAAACTTATTGTAAAAGGAGAAATAGCAAGGTAGCTGAGATTGCTGAATTTAACAAAAGCAGATAATAATAATAATAATAATAATAATAATAATAATAATAATAATAATGCCTGATTCTTGCAGCCCAGGAGCAAGCCATCAGAACCAATTCAATTAAGGCCAGGATTGAAAAATCAACGGATGACCCAAAATGCAGACTGTGCAAGGAAGCTGATGAAACCATGGATCATATCCTCAGCTGTTGCAAGAAAATTGCACAGACGGACTACAAACAAAGACACAACTCTGTGGCCCAGATGATTCACTGGAACTTATGTCACAAGTACCACCTGCCAGCAGTAAAGAATTGGTGGGATCATAAACCCGCAAAGGTCATGGAAAATGAACATGCAAAAATACTGTGGGACTTTCGAATCCAGACTGACAAAGTTTTGGAACACAATACACCAGACATCACGATTGTGGAAAAGAAAAAAGTTTGGATTATTGATGTCGCCATTCCAGGTGACAGTCGCATTGAGGAAAAACAACAGGAAAACTCAGCCGCTATCAAGACCTCAAAATCGAACTGCAAAGGCTCTGGCATAAACCAGTACAGGTGGTCCCAGTGGTCATTGGCGCACTGGGTGCCGTGCCAAAAGATCTCAGCCGGCATTTGGAAACAATAAACATCGACAAAATCACGATCTGTCAACTGCAAAAGGCCACCTTACTTGGATCTGTGCGCATCATTCAAAAATACATCACACAGTCCTAGACGCTTGGGAAGTGTTCAACTTGTGATTTTGTGATACGAAATCCAGCATATAGATCTCGTTTGCTGTGACATACTGTGCTTTTGTGTCAATAATAATAATAATAAGTTACAGAAAATGAGCATGTCAAATCTGGAGGCAATGCTCAACTCCGGCTATGGAGAGGTGCTCTTGTTCCATTTTTCCATGCTGAGGAGCCTGTTGTCTATAGACTTCTCTAATCATGTTACCGGCATGTCTGCTTGGGGCACCCTTTGACATCACCGCTGAGGCAGAACCTATTGATCTACTCGCATTACATGCTTTCGAACTGCTAGGTAGGCAGAAGCTAGGGTAGCTCACTCCAACTCACAGCTTTGAACTGCTGACCTTCCGGTCAGCAGGTTTCCTGCAGCTGGTGGTTTTACATGCTGCGCTACCGTGGCCAAAGGCACTAACTTGTAAATAATGTACAGCAAGGAATGCTGAAGATCAGAGACACAAAGAATGACCCAAAGCTATTTCAAATCCCATTCCGGAGTGAGACCAGGGAGAACCAGCCCAGTTTGGTCACATGAAAGGGGACTACCTCAAAAAGCAGGAGCGACTCTTCAATCGGCCGATCTCGCCATGGGGAGGGAGGTGGGTTGTGTCCTTTGATTTCTTCCACCTTCTGGTGGCAAACATAAGCATGTCCCCTGGGGAGAGGAAAATCAGGCATCAGCCATAAGGACAAGGAACACATGCTACAAGAAGGAAAGCAAATATATTGCAGACAGACATTCCTATAAAGCATGCCAGAAGGGACACTCTGTGGAGGCGATGGAAGATAGGAGGATGGAAGTCTTCTCACCTCCGGATGAGATCCACAGCCCAGGCATACAACTGGTCAAAGTAGTCAGAGGCATGTGTCACTGCATAAGGAGTGTATCCTGCAGGGAATTAATGTCCAGTCATAAAAAAGCAAACCCACCTATGTGCCAGTCACCACTATCATAAACAAGTACCCTATATACTCGAGTGTAAACCGACCCAAATATAGGTTGAGACACCTAATTTTACCACAAAAAACTGGGAAAACATATTGACTTGAGTATAAGCTAAGGGTGGAAAATGCAGCAGCTACTGGTAAATTTCAAAATAAAAATAGATAGCAAAAATTACATTAATTCAGGCATCAGTAGGTTAAATGATTTTGAATATTTTACAAAAAACTCCAACTTAAGATAAGACTTTCCAACTGATTAAACCATTGTTCTAACCTTCTTCAATGTAAATATGCTTATGTGTCCTTCCAATAATAATAGAGTAAAAGAATAAATGTAATAATAACAATAATAAATAGAAAAAATAATAAATGTAATAATAACAATAATAGAGTAAAATAATAAACATTATTTTTATTACAACAGAATAAAATAATAAATAACTTAGACTCGAGTATAAGCTGAGAGGGACTTTTTTAGCCTAAAAAAGGGCCCTGTAAAACTTGGCTTATACTTGAATATATATGGTATGCGTCCAGGGCAGGGATGTCAAACTCATGTTCATTGAGGGCCACGTCAGCCTGATTGTTGCCTGCAAAGGGCCACTGAATCCATGGACAAAGAATCTTTGGATACAGAGAGCAAACTATAATTTTGTTTACAGAGTGGTTAGTGCTCTTTAGTTTTTACCTAATCTGAGTCCCAAATGTTTTTGAATAAAAACTCCCCCACTTTTGATTATCCACCATGCAGACTGAGGATAATGGGAATTATAACCCAGCAGCCCTTGTGGCTCTGTTGTTGGGGAAAAAATAAAAGGAAATTTGAAGTCAGATATCCTATCCACAAGCCTTGTACCTAAATGCAAACTCAACTATTCTGACTAAAAAGAAAAACTGTAGCCTTCCAGCTGTTAGTGCATCACAATTCCCATCAGCTCTAGTACGATGTCTAATGATGAAGAATACAGCCATTGTAGTCCACCATCTGGAGGGCCACAAAAAATGACATGGCAGTCCAGGTTTTGCTCATGGGCCTTATGTTTGTCCTATAGGGAGGGCATACCTAACCATTCCACGATGTCACGGATGGCTGTAAAGTACTTCTCTTCCTCTTTTTCAGGATTTGTGTCATCATAGCGCAGGAAGCAAATTCCACCATTTGCCTGAAGAGGAGGAAAGATTAAGCAGAACCTTTATTCCCTTTCCATACAAGAAAAATAAGACCAGTAAAGGGTGGCACTAAAGCACTGGGGAAAGGGAAGCAGAAGAACAAATTTGTTGAAGGCTTCCATGGCAGGAATTACTGGGTTGCTGTAAGTTTCCCGGGCTGTATGGTCATGTTCCAGAAGTAATCTCTCCTAACGTTTCACCCACATCTATGGCAGACATCCTCAAAGGTTGTGAGGTCTGTTGAAAACTAGGCAAGTGAGGTTTATATATCTCTGGAATGTCCAGGGTGGCTACCAGTACTAAAAAAACCTGGCTACCAGTGTTAAACAACTCTAAAATCAGGACAGTAAATAAAGAACAAGCAACCATCATGTCAGACTACACAGAGAAGCCATTAAATTCCACAAGCATGTGGACAATTTCAACAGAAAGGAGGAAACCATGAAAATGAGCAAAATCTGGCTACCGGTATTAAAAAACCTCTAAAAGCAGGACAGTAAATAAAGAGCAACACTCAAAAAACAGGGGAATTATAGACAAGAAACAACCAGGGCCAGCTAACACTTCCCAACAAAGGATTCCCCCAGGCAGCAATCAACCAGACTTTGAAGTTGCAAGGCTATTCAATAATAATGTAATAATAATAACTTTATTTTTATACCCCGCCTCCATCTCCCCAAAGGGACTCAGGTTGTCTTACATGGGGACAAGCCCGGGCAAACATAGATTAAAAACACGACACAATAAGATAAAATAAAATAAAACAAACACGTTATAATAACATAACACAGCATTATAAAACAATCAATAGTGTGAACAGTAGTAAATACTGAACTTGGAGGGTTAGGAGCTTGTGCTGGAGGAAAATTGCAAGAGCCGATAATAATTAGGGCTAAAAGGGTAATGCCATTTGTCATTTGAATGCCAGGTGTATAGAGAAGGGGACAGTGAAAAAGTACAGGAGCTGATAGTAAATCAACTGGTGACCTGTTAATCATAGGCACAGTGGAACATCCATGTTTTTAGGTCCTTGAGAAAAGTGGGTGCTAATCAAGGTGGCTGATAGCAACATTCACACTTGCCTCAAACAGACAAGAGTTCTTTCTCCCACCCTGGACATCTCATAGATATATAAACCCCACTTGCCTATTTTCCAACAGACCTCACAACCTCTGAATATGCCTGCCATAGATGTGGGTTAAACATCAGGAGAGAATGCTTCTGGAACATGGCCATAAAGCCCGGAAAACTCACAACAACCCAAAGAAGAAAGTCTTGACTTGATGCTTGGAAGTCAAAATATGGGTATGTCACAATGATACTATTGATACTATTGCTGCAGTCACAGTGCTTTAAAACAAAATAAGAAGAAACAACCACCAAACTAATCTATTGAGGAAAATCACAGCGGGGACAGACAAAGACACAGAAAATGCAAAGTGTGAGAGACCTATATGCTTTATGGCACTGCTGGTGAGAATATGTAGCTTTTTAGATGATATTAGAACACAATTCCTATCATCATTATCACCACTAGCTTTGCTGGCTATGGCTGTTGGAATTTGCAATCCAAAGAAATCTATACGGTCACATATTCTATTATAACAAACATTGCTGTGTAGGTGCAAATTTCTCACCTTGGCAAAACCGAAGTTGAAATTGATTGCTTTGGCATGACCAATGTGCAGGATACCGTTGGGCTCAGGTGGGAATCGTGTGCGCACCTAGAGCAGAAGACACCTTAAAAGAGTTAGGCAATATCCTCCTTGGACGACACCGAATCCAGTAAGTAAATATATATAGATGTGCAGAGCTATGAAAAAGTTATTTGCTTGGACATCAATTCCCAAAATCCCTTAGTCAGTATATTGCTATGGAATTCTGAGAGCTATTGCCAAAAAGTGACCTCTATATATACATGCACACAAAAATCCATGGATATATTTAAAATAGAAAGGAAAAAGATCAGAAATAGCTTGCCTATGGCACGTTAGTGGCCAACCATATTGTGGTTATGCTCCCCCACTCTGAAATTTTGCATTAGGTTTCAGGGGACTGAAGAAATGGCAAGTTACAAAGGCCAGCTGCTACATCAGGAATGGGCAAACTTCAGCACTCCAGGTGTTTTGGACTTCAACTCCCACAATTCCTAATAGCCTACCGGCTGTTAGGAATTGTGGGTGTTGAAGTCCAAAACACCTGGAAGGCCGAAGTTTGCCCATGACTGTGCTACATGGACTCAGTCTCTACAATAACAAGGAAACTTAAAACTCAATGTACCTGTCCACCCGTAATCTCCAGATGCTGCTTCAGGAGGTTCATGGTGTTGGGCGTGACTACATAGCCTTCAGTTTTGTAGTTCTCACCTGGAGAAGTAACATAACACACAGTATAAATACTATAATAGTAATTAATAAAACTTTATTTATAGCCTGCCACCGTCTCTCTGAGGGATTCAGGGCCGCTCACAAAGCGCTCAGAGGTGCAAATATGCAAAGTACAAAAAGTGCAGAGACAATAACACAAAAGCAATAACAACCACCATAAACATCACCCCCTCCCCCCTTTGTGATAATGCAGTTAGTTGCCAATTGCGGAATTTGTCTGTGCTAAAGATTCATCTTCTGTGCCCAGAAAAACCTGAGTTACAAAACTGGAAACCTTTTGTGCTAACCTTTTGTCCCAGCCCTCTAATCTGCTGCCAATCTTTACTACAAAGTCTATGCAAATAAGCAAATGGGAGAAGCCATTTTCAGCCAGATATGATCATGAGCACATCTACACCCACTGTTTAATGCAGTTTCAAACTGGTACTGAAGGAAGTGGTTTCATTGTGTGGATAATTACACAGGAAATCCTAGAATCAGTTTGAGGCCTAGGCTGTAGCTCAGGCATGGGCAAACTTCGGCCCTCCAGATGTTTGGGACTTTAACTCCCACAATTCTTTACAACCTATTGGAATTGTGGGAGTTGAAGTCCCAAACACCTCGAGGGACGAAGTTTGCCCATGCCTGCTCTAGCTCCAGATTCCCCTTGCCATGTTGACATGGGATTCACGTACTCAAGAGGACATTTCATCCTGGAGAGAAATTCATTGTTGGCACCCAACTAAGTGAGAAATCATTTAGAAGAAATGCAATAATAACCTGTCATTAACAAGCCTAATATGAATGCCCCAATAGAGGAAGCCCCCACTTATCTGATGGGTTAAGGTTGAGCTTTCCAAATTGTGTGTATATTCAGTTCTTGCGGGTTTTTTCAGGCTATATGGCCATGTTCTAGAGGCATTTCTCCTGAACATGGCCATATAGCCCAAAAAATCCCACAAGAACTGAGTGATTCCAGCCATGAAAGCCTTCGACAATACATTGTGTGTATATTGGTTACAATGTGTAGACATGCCATGCAAACAGAACAAGAAATGACAAAAAATCTTGGAAATGTATATTATCTTACAAATCATTAATTTTTAAAAATATAAATGAAAGTGTGTTGTCGAAGGCTTTCATGGCCAGAATCATTGGGTTGCTGTGAGTTTTCTGGGCTGTATGGCCATGTTCCAGAAGCATTCTCTCCTGACATTTCACCCACATCCTCTAAGGATGCCTGCCATAGATGTGGGCAAAACTTCAGAAGAGAATGCTTCTGGAACATATCCATACAGTCCGGAAAACTCCCAGCAACCCTATAAATGAAAGGTTTTCATGAGATAGGTTGCGTCCCCATACATTTTGTTATTACATCTTATGTATGTGTCATATCTCTTATAATGGGTTGGTTTAACCTCTGGGTTGTTAGCAAATTATTGTGTCACTGAGGCCCCTTCCACACAGCTGAATAAAATCCCGCCTTATCTGCTTTGAACTGGAATATATGGCAGTGTGGGCTTAGATAACCCAGTTCAAAGCAGATATTGTGGGATTTTCTGCCTTGATATGTTAGGTTATATGGCTGTGTGGAAGGACCCTTAGAGGCACCAAGTTGACTGACAGAAGAGACGACAACAGAATGACATAAAAAGCAGCAGCAGCGATTGACAACACAGGTTACCTGGCTTATGGAATTTGAGGGCTTCACCCCTCAGCTGTTCCATGAGGGATTTGGTCTCTTGGTACACATCACCTGCAAGGAACATACTGAGTTAGGACTTCACTCAAACAGAGAATCAAAATGCAGAATTTTCAAAACATCCCCCTCTGAAACAAGCCCCTTGTTCCACATTCCCCTAATGTTGAACCAACATTAACAACAATTGCAATTCCACAGAGAAGGAACAAAGGAAACAATTTCTGAATTAACTTAGTGGATAATATTCTAACTTACACATTTTAATTATTTTCTACTGTTTTAGTTTATATTTTAATTAGGGTTGGTCTTAGCAAAATGGGTTACCTCCATTTATGTACTGTCTGTCTTTGTTAACTGTGTAACGGCATTGAATGTTTGCCGTATATATGTTCTGTAATCCACCCTGAGTCCCCTTGTGGAATATAAATAAAGTATATTATTATTATTATTATTATTATTATTATTATTATTTTATGAGTGGTGGTCACTTGTTGGCCTTTTAGGTGTATTGTGTTCAAATTTGGTATCAATTCAACCATACGTTTTTGAATTATGTTAATCCAACAAACAAACATTACATTTTTATTTATACAAATTATTAATGCTTTATTTGAATATACCATGTTTTAGACATGCTGTGGGAATGTTGTAAATACAATGTTGATTTTGCTGTTTGCAAATGTTCACATTATTTTGTACTTCTGGTCTACTTAAAATAAATTTATTCATTCACGTCTGCACAAACAGCACCGGGACAAACAGATGACAATAAAAATAGCAACTAAATAAAAATAAAATAAAATAAAATAAACAAAAGCTGATTTTTAAAAACTGTCTAAAACTACACAAAGTCTCAAGTTCACACAGGCTGAGCATCCCTTATCTGGAATATCTAAATCCAAAATATTCTGAAATTGCCCACAACGATGGCTAAGATAGTGACACCTTTGTTTTCTGATGGTTCGGTGTACATACACTTTATTTTATGCTCAAATTTAAATATAATGTAAAATTGTCCTTCAGGCTGGCTATGTGTGTCTGAAAAATCAATAAATTTCATCTTTAAACTTGTGTCCCATTTCCAAGATATTTCATTATACACATATATGCAATTACAGGTATTATTAAATCCAAAACCTATACTCTTCTGGGCCCAAGCATTCCAGATAAGGACTCAACCTGGGGTTAAATTTCACAGTGATTGTTGTTTTTATGAGAGCACTAGAGGGCACTCATGACCTCTGCCAATGCTCAGAATATGCAGGTTGCAGCAGGTGAGAGGAATTTTCCAGGACAGAAATTACCAAAAAAAAAAAAAAAATAGAGCACACCACATGGCAAATTGCAAGAATGGATAGCTGCCAATATTCTGTGTGTTGTTCACTGGGAAGCTGCACAACTGGCACAGCAAAGCCAGACAGATGCCAGCTACAAGAACTTCCTGCACTTGGAAATAAAGAAAAGGAACTACAGGAGGGAGTTCAGCCACAGCCTTACCATTTTCCACCACAGCCACCTTCCCTTTCTTGTCTGGCTCTGCCGCACGGACCTTTGGGGTCTGAAAAAGAAAGATCTGAGTTCTAGTTGGTTCAAACAAACCTCCACCATTAACAGGAGCTGACATTTTAACACTACCTTCTTGCACAGAAGACAAAAAACTTCCTTGCAGGAAAATAAGCAATGGGAAAAGCTGTTGAAAATCTGTAATTTTGATCCCCAAAACTGCCCTTGACTTAGACATGGGAATATATGGTAGGTGTGCAAAAGGGCTGTAACTTTGCTCAGTTCTCGAACTCAAAATCAATTCCGGGGTTCAGAACTCTTTTAATTCCAAATGTATGCCTTTTGAACCAGGAACTGTTTGGTGGATCTCAGGATTTTAGCAAATAGACAAAATTGCCATCTGACAATTTCACTCCATTCAGCTTGTTTGGTCTCAACAACATGTTAGAGGAGTCCTGCTACTATGAATTTTTGGATTTCATAGAATCATAGAATAATAAAGCTGGAAGAGACCACATGGGCCATCTAGTCCAACACTTTAAAATGCAGGAAAAGCACAATCAAAACGCCCCCAGCAGATGGACATCCAGTATTAGTTTCCAGAACTAATACTAATATCTTTCTCTTATACTGGAATAGAAGCATTTTAGATATATAAAAACACCTATAATACACTCAACTTCAGAAACAGAATGATTTTTAAAATGGAGCAGTGTGATCAAGAATTATGGTAAATGTTATGTTTTAAAATTGATTTGTTTTATGTTTTTTATTTACTTTGTTTACGTGTTTATTTGTATCCTGTTTTTCATTTTTGATGTTTTGATGTTGAATTTTCTCATGCAATTAGTTCACTGTTGTTATTATTTTCCATTATGCCCTATTGCTTTGATGTATTTGCACTTGTCCCAAACACATGGAGGGTCTAAGATTCCCTGCTATTCACTGTTACTTATAGAAAGCAATATTCTCATAAATCTCACATGCATCTAATAATAATAATAATAATAATAATAATAATAATAATAATAAACCTTTATTTATACCCCGCTACCATCTCCCGCAGGACTTGGTGCGTCTTACAAGAGGCCGAGCCCAATAAAACACATCAACAACAATAAAACACATCAACAACAATACAACAATAAATAACTCATAACAAAGCAAAAAAAATAACAATAATATCATGACACATTTAAAACCTGTGGCAGGGCCAAATGTAATGATTAAAATTTTAAAATGCTGGGCATGTTCAAGAGAAATAGGATGGATATTTTAGGAATAGGTGGGTGTGCAGACAATTCTAAATCTCCCGTAAAGTGCATTTGGGACCTATTGCTTGGGATTCCTTATTCTGGGAAGGCACACTGGAATATCCATGTTTAGAAAGAAAAAAGGCTGTGAAGATGGCAAATAATGCTACCTTGGTTTTCTTTTCCAGATCAGCTTCTGTCTTTGGGCCCAATAAGTGGAGGACCTGCAGATGAAATAAGGGAGGAAAGGTAAACACAGGCAGAACTATCTATGTGGGCACTCTGGATTTAATCTGGCTCTCAGAGGACTCTTCCATACAGCCATCTAACCCAGAATATCAAGGCAGGTAATCCACAATATCTGCTTTGAACTGGGTTACCTGAGTCCACACTGCCATACACCCCAGTTCAAAGCAGATAATGTGGGATTTTATACAGGTGTGTGGAAGGGGTCGGAGTTGTCCCTTCCTACTGAAACCCCCCATTCAGTAGGCTCCTGCCATACCTGCAGATCCACTTCATTTTTAATTATTTTCCCATCGGCCCACTTCAGCTTGCTCCGTGCCTCTCCTGAAAAAGACATATACAAAACACACACGGTAAGTCCAGCCAGTGGTGGGTTCACTGAATGTCTTTGACTGATCCCTCAAAACATGGCTGAACATGGATGTTTTGAAACAGAAACTGGGTGGCCATCTGTTGGGAGTGCTTTTACTGTGTGTTCTTGCATGGCAGAAGCTTGGACTGGATGGTTCTCACATTGTATTCTATGGTCTCTATAATCAGGATCAATAGAAATTTCTGAACCTAGGCCTCTGTCTTATAAAAGAGAGATTCTGTATTTTATAAAATATGACTGAATCACACTTGAGACGTTGCTGAAAGTTCCTTCTGATCTCCCTGGTTATAATTCTACCTGTGGCCAAACACATTATGTATGAATAAACTTCTGGACAATACTTCAAGACCGCGAACTCTGTTTTCTATTGTCATAAGTTGACATAGCCCCTTTAAAAAGTATTTCTCCACATAACACATATTAATTTATGGAATTCAGTGTCTCTGGCCACTAGCATAAAGGGCAACTTAACATACTGATAGAAAATAAGCCTAGTGACAGTTATTAGTTTATTTATTTATTTAGTATTTATTTATTTATTTATTTACTTTATTTGTATACCACTCTTCTCAGCCCTTAGGCGACTCAGAGCGGTTAGTACATTTCTATACTGCCCCTCTTAGCCTTCCGGTGACTCGAGGCGGTTTACATGTCAAGAATTCAATGCCACCAAGGACACAATTACAATATACAATATAAAAAACATCAGCAAAAATAAAATCAAACATTATAATGAAACATACTTCAATCAATAATCATTAAAACAATGTCCAGTTCCGCCATATAGTTATTCCATTATTATATCCGTTACTCCGTATTTTCAAATGCCCGCTCAAATAGCCATGTTTTAAGATTCTTCTGGAATGATAGGAGCGAAGAAGCTGATCTAATCTCCCTAAGAAGGGTGTTCCATAGCCGAGGGGCCACCACTGAGAAGGCCCTGTCTCTCGTTCCTGCCAACTGTACTTGTGATGATGGCGGGACCAAGAGCAGGGCCTCTCCAGATGATCTTAAAGTCCTTGCAGGTTCATAAGGGGAGATTCGTTCGGATAGGTAAGTTGGGCCAGAACCGTTTAAGACAGTTTCACACAACCTCCAGATTCAGCAGCAATATAATACTGAGGACCAGTTCCTGGGAGCATAGGAACAAAGGAGAGCTATTATCTTCAAGCTCTTCTTGTTAGCACCCTGAAAACATCCTATGGGCCTCTCTGCAAAACAGAGATTGTATGATCATCTGTTGGGAGTGTTCTGATTGTGTGAACACTGGGTTAGCAGGTAGAGGTTGAGAACCAAGGAACATCTATATGTGTTGTTGAAGGCTTTCATAGCTGGAATCACTGGGTTGCTGTGAGCTTTCTGGACTGTATGGCCATGTTCCAGAAGCATTCTCTCCTGATGTTTTGCCTGCATCTATGGCAAGCATCTTCAGAGGTTGTGAGGTCAGAGGTTGTGACCTCTGAGGATGCCTGCCATAAATGCAGGCGAACCATCGGGAGAGAATGTTTCTGGAACATGGTCATATAACCCGGAAAACTCACAGCAACCAAACATATGGATGTTTTTGGACTGTGAATCCAATCAGCTCTACCAAACTCATTACATGGTGTGGGATGCATGCCAATAACACCTGGAGGTGCTTTTCTTTAACAGCAAAGCCTACTAGAAGAGACATAACATTGCACTGGAGAACCAAGGAAAATGACTGGAGAGATCATATTTTGTTGGAAATTGATAAATGAAACTGCAGGTATCAGTATCATAGATAAAGGGATTGTAATACATATGAATGATTAAAATAGTGAAATATCATGCTTTGGAAGCAGAGTGGTATTCTTTATTCCTGAAAGCAAACCGAGGACTCACCCATCAGAAGTCCCATGTTGAAACGGTAACGCTCTGAAAGGAGCTGAGCTTGGTGTTTGCTGATGACAGCTTCTACCTAGAAAGAAATTTGAGAATTTCTGACTTTAAAAACAGGAGAAGGGATTCAGAAATGTAAGGTGGGCATTTTTTCTAATACTGTATTTAATTTTCTACACCATAGATATACAATATATGCACACACATATCCACAGTTGTCTGTGCTGCTGTACTCTAAACAACAGATGAGCCAAATACATAATATCAACAGTCCCAGAGTTACAAACATCTGACTTACAAATGACTCATAGTTAAGAATGGGAGTGAGCCAACAGGAAGTGAGAGAAATCTACCCCAGAGAGGGAAATTAACTCCTGAGAAGTCAAAAAGGTGTCTCAACTGAAACTTTCTCACAAATCCTTGTTCCCACAAGCAATTTTTTTTCAGAATCCAATTATCACAGGGACAGGAAGTGAGGTGAAATCTTCTGAATGTAAAGTGTGTGTGTGCATATGTAATTTTCAACTCTTAAATGTTTGAAAACATACAAAAGCAGCACAATGGGGCAAGAAAGTCAGCCATGCAAACATGTTGCATGTTGGTCCATCCCTATGTTATTCAAAATGGAAACAATTGACTAGTTACACTTAAAAATGTATCTTTTCCAACTTACATAAAAATTGAACTTAAAAACAAACCTACAGACTGCCTGGATGAGCTTCCAGTTTTCCTTCTAAAGAGACATGCACTAACAAAGCCTAGTGTTCAGGGTTCATTCTAACCAATGCAAATACTGCTATTCTTGTGTCTGTTTCACTTTTTTGCTTTTAGCTAGTAACAAATACAAAAAAGTGGTGGTTTATGTTTGCCCACAGACTTGCATCCATCTTCTAGTGAAATAAATATTCAACTAGTTTGCTCAATCGGTTTTTCCCCAACTTGAAAAGCAACTGGTAACTATTGCAGAGGAGCGAGTGAAGCTAAAGGTACTACAATTCTGCTGATGTTTATGTAGTTGTTGTGTGCCTTTCAAGATGTGTCTGACTTATGGTGACCCTAAAGTGAACTTACTATGGGTTTCTTGGCAAAATTCATTCAGAAGGGGTTTCAATCCCAGAATCCCCTAGTCAGAATGACCACTGTAGTGGTGATGGGAGACAGGGCCTTCTCAGTGGTGGCCCCTCGGCTATGGAACACCCTTCCTGGGGACATTAGATCGGCCTCTTCCCTCTTAACATTTCAGAAAAGAGTCAAGCCTTGGTTGTTTGAGCAAGTGTTTGAAAATGCAAGGTAAAAGACATAGGAATTGGAACGACTGGATGACGAGATGGGACAATGTTTTTTATTAAGAGACGCAAATTATCTGTTTCTAAAGAKACGCAAATTATCTGTTTCTAAACCACTAAAGACGTGGTTGTTTGAGAAGGCGTTTGACTAAGTGCTACAACAATTGGCAATGATGATTGGAACGGAATATGGATAAMGAGATTGGATTGTGAYTCTABGATGAGAYGTCGCGAATGATTTARTGTAAYTGTATTRTTRATAGTGATGTTGYTATTGTTGTTTRTGWWAYTGYCTTTATTGYAAATTGTTTTTTATATGTTGTACACCGCCGTGAGTCGCCCTAGGGCTGAGAACGGCGGTCTACAAATGCAGTAAATAAATAAATAAATAAATAAATATGTTTTAATATTCTTGTTATGGTTTCATATTATGTGTTAATGTTTTATGGTGTTTTTGGGCATCGAATCATTGCCATTGTAAACCATCCTGAATCGCCTGAGGGCTGAGAAGGGCGGCATACAAATACAGTAAGTAAATAAATAAATAGTCCGGAAATGAATATGTGAGAAATGAATATGTGAAAGAAAATAATCCTCATGTTGGTGGTGGGAATTGTAAATGTTTTGTATGTGCATGGTATGGTTTTTTTTTTTTTTTGTAAAAATAAAAATTCATTTAAAAAATAGTCCGAAAAAAAAAACTTTTCAAATTCTGGGAGAAGCTAACAGTAGCCATCGTTTCATGTTTATTCTATCTATGGCTCATACTCACCGCCTCTTCTATCTGTTCTGGTGTCACGACCACGCCAACGCCACAGACGCGGTCAAAGTCTGCTGGGTCAATGGTTTCCACAGGGTGGCTTTTAATGTACTCCAGAGCAGCTACAATTAGAAAAAGTGGATTAGAAGGAAAAATTGTGTGATATAGCAGTTAGATTAGGCAGGGGGCGGGGAGCGGGGTGGGGGATTTGTTTTATGTCTTATAATTCTAGCAAGTATGTAGTTTGGAGCTTTTCCACTCAACGAAAGGATGCGGTGTGGTGGTCTTGGATGTGGATTTGGGATGTTCCCAAATAAAAGCCATTGTGTGAGAAAACCAGATTGAAGAACTTTGTGGGTTGACATGCTTAGGGGCAGAGTTAACATTCTGCGGGAAAATCAGTGACAGAGTTAGGGTTCTGCAGGAAAAAAAGCTCTTTTGAAGAGTTTGAGAACAGCTGCTCTAGACCTGACCTGCACAACATGCAGCTCGAGGACTGGATGTAGCCCTCACAAGGACTTGGTGTGGCCTGCAGAGGCTCTGAGCCTAACACTACACATCTATCTGTATTAAAAGCCTGCCTGAATAAAAGGGGGGGGGGGGTTGCCTTCTGATGGAAGGATAATAGGAAATGGGCCATTCTGGTTAACTCAGGAAGGGAGATCCAGTTCTCTTGAGGCAGCCACCAAAAAAGCCCTCTTTGTCCTTGTGATAGTGCTGAAATATTATATGGGAAGAGAAAAGCTATGTATGCCACTTTGAGCTTACTTGAAGTTGAAATATAAATGTAATAAATAGATCTTGATTTAGAGAACGTTCTGCAAATATATGGATGAAAGACAGGATCAGAGACTAGTATAAAATTACAACAGCACAACAACAGAGAGGAAACAAACAAGGACATCTAATCACCTCTCAACAAAAGTTTGCTCTAGGCACTGTCAGACCATTATATGCTAATCAAGGTGGTCAGTTGAAACATTCACACCTAGCTCCAGCAGACAAGAGTCCTTTGTCTCACCCTGGTCATTCCACAGATATATAAACCCTTTTTCCTAGTTCCAACAGACCTCACTACCTCTGAGGATGCTTGCCATAGATGCAGGTGAAACGTCAGGAGAGAATGCCTCTAGACCATGGCCATATAGCCCGAAAAAACCTACAACAACGTAGTAGTATAACCCTATAATTTGAAAATTTTTCTGTTCCTGTTTTGAAAGTGTTATTCCGCCCTGAGTTGCCTGCGGGCTGATATGGGCGGGATATAAGTGATGTAAATAAATAATAAACAAATTTCCTGTTTAATTGTACAATATTTACTTCAAAAGTAGTTGTTATACTCCAGAAATTTCCTTTTTGTGGCAGCCACAAGCTATGTTGAATTGACTGAGACCCTATGAGATATTCATTGAAAAACTAGAGCAAAAGGTGCTGCAGGATGTCCCACAAAAACAAAGTTTTGGCACATTAATTAACCAATTAATTAATTAATTAACCTTTTCCATGTTTTTATGATAGAACCAATTATGAAATTACATGTATAACCCAGGCACAAGAATCATGTTGCGTAGTGTAATCAATATTCCATCCTAAACACATACCATTGATCTGCAGATCTGTAACAATTTTCTTGGTAGCGATGTACTCCACCAGGAAGCCAAGATGCTTTGGGTCTTTAAGTCGAGAGGCCACACTATATAACAGGATGCCCACTGTCTTGTCAACCGCTGAACCAAGGAGACTTTGTGCCTGCATGAGCCAAAGAAATCAATGGGAGAATTAAAAGCTTTCTCTTACAATCTGTTTCAAAGGTGTTTAGAAGAATCACAGAATCCTAGAGTTGGAAGAGACCTTGTGGGCCATCCGGTCCAACCCCCTGCCAAGAAGCAGGAAAATCACATTCAAAGCACCCCCAACAGATGGCCGTCTAGCCTCTGTTTAAAAGACTCCAAAGAAGGAGCCTCCACCACACTCTGGGGCAGAGAATTCCACTGCTGAACAGCTCTCAGAGTCAGGAAGTCCTTCCTCACGTTCAGGTGGAATCTCCTTTCCTGTAGTTTGAAATTATTGTTCCACATCCTAGTCTCCAGGGCAGCAAAAACAAGCCTGCTCCCTCCTCCCTGTGACTTCCCCTCACATATTTATACATGGCCTTTATCATGTCTCCTCTCAGCCTTCTCCTCTGCAGGCTAAACAAGCCCAGCTCTTTCAGCCACTCCTCATAGAGCTTGTTCTCCAGAGGTTTTGCAAATTTAACCTTTCCTTTCTCTAAAGCAATTTTGAGTGATTTGGGGTGCATTTACACTGCAGAATGAATGGAGTTTGGCCCCACTTTAACTGCCAACAGCTAGTCCTTCAGGCTGTTAGGAATTGTGGGAGTTGTGGAGGGCCAAAGTTTGCCCATGCCTGAGCTAGGCAGTGTGTTGAACTGTTGCCCTACTTTTTCATGTAGGAATATATTCACAAACAATAGTGAAACATACAAATTATCTGCTTATTGTTGAATCTAGTGGTTCAGGAATCAACTATTTAAACCTTATAAACCACTTCTGCGCTGCAACATGGGCTAATTGTGCATATGTAGAAGAACTATAATACTGACCAACACATATTTTGGAGCCTCTAATGTTAGCCCTGTTTGTGGCTGTATTTGATTGACTGATTCAAAAAATGGCACCAGTTTCCTCCTATCAGCTCTAGTTTTTGAGATACAGAACATATGGCATCTATCAGTCACCATCTACTCGTCCATAGAAAACAATAACTATATCAAAGAAACTAGAGCTCATGTGGTCTATCCAATGCAATTTTCTGAATCAAGTGCTTAAATCAAGTGCTAATTTTCTGAATCAAGTGCCCAGGAACAGGCCTTACAGACATTAAGAAAATAATATTTTTCAGTTGGATGCTGTAATTTAAGCAGCTGGTTCTCAAACTATAGAAGGAAGAGTGGCACCTATTTAGACTCAGGTCAACCCTATCCCAGCTTATTCACATCTAAAAGGTTCACTTGTCCAAGGATTTTATTTCTGTCTGAGAATAGTAACAAGAATGAAGCAGAAGATTGACTGTCCCTGTCCTTATTTTGCAGTCAATCTTCTGCTTCATTCTTGTTGTGTAGTCTCCGCTCAAAGTAACATTTTCACTTTCAGATTTGCTGTAGGGAAATTCCAATGCAAAAAAAAAACAGAACAGCTATTTATCGTTGAAGGCTTTCATGGCTGGAATCACTGGGTTGTTGTAGGTTTTTGGGGGTTATATGGCCATGTTCTAGAGGCATTCTCTCCTGACGTTTTGCCTGCATCTATGGTAAGCATCCTCAGAGGTAGTGAGGTCACTACCTCTGAGGATGCTTACCATAGATGCAGGTGAAACATCAGGAGAGAATGCCATATAGCCCAAAAAAACCTACAACCGAACAGCTATTGTTTGGAAAGTAACTGTGTGTGTTGCTCTAATATGCAATATTGCTCCACTATGCTCTATTATGCAATTGCTCTAATATGCAATACGGCAACTGGTTTCACTTTTTTTTTGACAGCTGCATGGAAAGTAGAAAGCAGGATGGTCTTAATCAAAACACTCTTTCATTTCAGTTCTCATTCTAAACTGTAATTAAGACTCAGTACACATGGCCCAGCCCTGGTTGGTACTGGGATGGGAGACTGCCAATCACTGCTGGATATATTTTAGAGGAAAGGACTGGCAAAACCACCTCTGAGTATTCCTTGCCTAAGAAAAACCTTTTAAAAAGACACTTCAATAACAACCTTACTTCGAAGCTGGCAATTTGTACCCCACAAGCTGCTATAAATAATTTAAAATAATTTTATATACTTTTGTGCACTTTGTTGCTCTGGTCCTTATGGTGTTCATCTGTTGTCTAAATAACTATGTTTATTTAATTTTTAATTACATTTTCTGGTTTAGTATCTATGAATTTATAATGATGTTATTTTGTACTTTTTGACTTATGTGTATGTTTTTTTTTAATTTTTACCAAGGCACTGAATGTTTGCCTTTCTTTTTTGTCTGGAAGCCACCCCAACTCCCCTTGGGGAATTAGGGTGACCTCTAAATAAAGTATTATTATTATATTATTGGAGCCCCTAGTGGCACAGTGGGAAAAACCTCTGAGTCGCAAACTTGTTGACCGAAAGGTTGGCAGTTTGAATAAGGGAGCGGGGTGAGTTCCCACTGTTAACCCTAGCTTCTGCCAACTTAGCAGTTCAAAAACATGCCAATGTCAGTAGATCAATAGGTACCACTTCGGCGGGAAGGTAACGGCCCTCCAGGTGTTTTGCACTACAACTCCCACAATTCCTAACAGCCGGCTGTTAGGAATTGTGGGAGCTGAAGTCTAAAACACCTGGAGGGCCCAAGTTTGCCCATGCCTGATATAGATGCACACTCAGCTGACATAGGAGTGACTGCTTTTTCCAAACTACAACTCCCATGATCATTACCTATGGTAGCTCAGACTGATGGGCATTACAGTCCAAAACCATTATCTTTAGGCACACAAGTTTATTTGTTCTTTTCTTACTCCTGAGGTGAGGAATGAAATGAATAGTAATATGGATTTGGAATCTATATTGTTGAACAAATGCAGTTTGACACCACTTCGATTGCCATAGCCTGACGATATAGAATGCTAGGAATTGTCGTTTCTGGGGCAAGAGACCATGTTGATATTAAAGCTGAAGGCCCTGCAAAACTACATATCCCAGGATTCCATAGCCAGGGCAATGAAAGTGGTATCAAAGTGCATTAATTCTACAGTAGCAGAAAATCATTCTAGTAGAAAGTAAACACTGGCAACTTTCCTGTTCTAGGGATGGAGCAAACTAACTACACATCTTAGGGCCCTTCCACACAGCTCTATATCCCAGAATATCAAGACAGAAAATCCCACAATATCAGCTTTGAACTGGGTTTTATTTTTTTATGACATTTACATGCTGCTCTTCTCACCCCGAAGGGGACTCAAGGAGCAGCTTACAAGATATATATACATACAATATATTATATTATTAGCATAGTACAATATCAGTATTAAATATTACTATATTGTACTATAGTATTATATTGTAATATTATTAGTAATATTACGTGTAATATAAATATATAATTATAACATCATATTATTCTTAGTAGTATTATATTGCATTACATTATAATATAAATATTATATGTACATACAATGTATTATATTATTAGCATAGTACAATATCAGTATTATATATTACTCTATTGTACTATACCATTATATTGTAATATTATTAGTAATATTACATGTAATATAAATATATAATTATAATATCATATGATTAGTATTATTGCATTACATAATAGTACTGTAAATATTATATGTATATACAATATATTATATTAGCATAGTACAATATCAGTATTATATATTACTATATTGTAGTATACCATTATATTGTAATATTATTAGTAATATTACATGTACTATAAACATATAATTATATCATATGATTAGTATTATATTGCATTATAATATTGTAAATATTATATGTATATACAATATATTATATTATTAGTGTAATACAATATCAGTATAATATATTACTATATTGTACTATATCATTATATTGTAATATTATTAATAATATTACATGTAATATAAATATATAATTATATTATTCTTATTAGTATTATATTGCATTATAATATTGTAAATATTATATGTATATACAATATATTATATTATTAGCATAGTACAATATTGGTATTGTATATTACTATATTGTACTATACCATTATATTGTAATATTATTAGTAATATTACATGTAATATAAATATATCATTATAATATCATATTATGGTTGTTGTAGGGTTTTTTTGGGCTATATGGCCATGGTGTAGAGGCATTCTCTCCTGACGTTTCGCCTGCATCTATGGCAAGCATCCTCAGAGGGAGTGAGGTCTGTTGGAACGAGGAAAAAGGGTTTATATATCTGTGGAATGACCAGGGTGAGACAAAGGACTCTGGTCTGCTGGAGCTAGGTGTGAATGTTTCAACTGACAACAGAGAGGAAACAAACAAGGACATCTAATCACCTCTCAACAAAAGTTTGCTCTAGGCACTGTCAGGCCATTATATGCTAATCAAGGTGGTCAGTTGAAACATTCACACCTAGCTCCAGCAGACAAGAGTCCTTTGTCCCACCCTGGTCATTCCACAGATATATAAACCCTTTTTCCTAGTTCCAACAGACCTCACTACCTCTGAGGATGCTTGCCATAGATGCAGGCGAAACGTCAGGAGAAAATGCCTCTAGACCATGGCCATACAGCCCGAAAAAACCTACAACAACCCAGTGATTCCAGCCATGAAAACCTTAGACAATACAATATAGATATCATAGAATCAAAGAGTTGGAAGAGACCTCATGGGCCATCCAGTCCAACCCCCTGCCAAGAAGCAGGAATATTGCATTCAAATCACCCCTGACAGATGGCCATCCAGCCTGTTTAAAAGCTTCCAAAGAAGGAGCCTCCACCACACTCCGGGGCAGAGAGTTCCACTGCTGAATGGCTCTCACAGTCAGGAAGTTCTTCCTCATGTTCATATTATTCTTATTATATTATAATATATTATAATATAATAATATCATATTGCATTACATTATAATATTGTAAATATTATATGTATATACAACATATTATATTACATTATATTATTAGCATAGCACAAGAGACAAGGGTCAACTGAGTCCACACTGCCATATATTCCAGTTCAAAGCAGATAATGTGGGATTTTATTCAGCGGTGTGTCAGGTAAATTACAACGGGGGCATCTACACTATGGAATTAACGCAGTTTGAAACCACTTTAGCTGCCATGGCTATGTCATCCTAGGGTTTGTAATCCTGGTGAGGCACCAGCTCTCTCTGACATGAAAGATAACTCTGCAAATCCCAGGATTCTATAGCAGTGAACCCAGGGCGGTTAAAGCGGTGTCAAACTGCGCTAACTTGACACTGCAGATGCCCCCAAAGGCATTTCTTAGGGAAGGGACCTGTAGGGCTGCCTGCCGGAGGGACGCGGAGAGTGCCTCGTTGCGGAGGGTTTCCCGGGCCTTGCTCTCGCTCAGCCCGAGGCCGAGGAAGAGCCGCAGCGAGTCTGGATCAGCCACCGCCTCCATCGCCGCCATGCTTCCTGCCTTCAGCCACTCTCCTTCCGCCCACGTTCAGGCAAGGCTTCACTTCTGCCAGTCTAACCAATCGGCGTGGAGGAGGCAGGCGCAGAATGAACCAATCGGAAGGTCCTCCAGTCCTCCAGCCAATAAGGAATCGTTGCAACGTTCTGCCGGCCTCTAGAACCAATGGAAGAGGTGGGATTTGAGAATGGGCAGAGTTACATGTGGTTGCGTCAGATGAAGGGTTGCTATGCAGGCGTGGGCAAACTAGGGCCCTCCAGGTGTTTGGACTACAACTCCCACAATTCCTAACAGCCAGTAGGCTGTTAGGAATTGTGGGAGTTGGAGTCCAAAACACCTGGAGGGACCAAGTTTGCCCACGCCTGGTTTACACTGAATGCAGATTAATTGCCTAGGATCTAATGCTATGCTCTTTGGTGTTGAGGGCTAAAGACCTTGTGAAACTACAACTCCCGTGATTCCATAGCCATTGAGCTTTAGTAGTTAAAGGGCAATAATTTTGGTGTTGAAGGCTATCAACTCCCATAAAGACCTTGTGAAACTACAACTCCCGTGATTCCATAGCCATTGAGCTTTAGTAGTTAAAGTGCAATAAGTTTACAGTATTGTTGGACCTCTTCACAACAGGTTGGTTGGGTTGAATGATAGTTGAACTATGGATTTGAGGACACACTAAGGTACCTGGCGATGCTTAGGTTAGGTCATTTCTAATGCTATTTATTAGAAACTAGCCGTCCCCTGCCACGCATTGCTGTGGCCCAGTCTGGTGATCTGGAAAATAAAGTAATGAGAAAGTGTTGGTTTCTAATATATGTAATTTCTTTCTGCTTGTGGGTAAACAGCAAGAAATGCTGTTTACCCACAAGCATAAAGCAATTACATATATTAGAACAGCACTTCTTGCCGTTTCTTCGTCAGTATTGATGTGGAGATTGTCTGGCTTGCCTACTCTGGAACATGCAACATATAATGGTCCTTCTGACATCGAGGACCCCCGCCCAGCAATTGGCCTGCACTGCAGCAGGGAGTTCCGCAGTTCCTGGAAGCCACAATTGGGATAAACTGATGGAATGTGCCCCAACAAACAGCTCAAAACTAGGACTGCATTCAGCCTTTATCACTTTCCCACAAGCCCTGACTTTGTATCTAATCCCTAATAAAAGTACTTGAAAATTGCAACTTTTTAACTTTTCCACTTGATACTTTGTGTCCTTCACTGCCTAAGCTAACCCATGCATGAAATAAACCTCTTTCTAGGCTCCGGGGAACCGTGAGCCTGCCTGGGATGCCTTTCTGGCGTCCCGGGGAGGCCGGATCTGCGTCAATTGGAACAGCGGATACGGAGATCTCCCTTTCGGACCCCCATATCCGCTAAAATCTCAAAATGTTGGATCGGCTCCATTTTAATGCCATATTTTTCTATGCTTAATTCTTAACTAAACTGCTATCTTGCTTTTCTCATTTTGGATCCCTATGCCCGGGAAATAATCTTTTTATTTTAAAGAATATAATTTGACAGAAAACAGCTGATTGTCAAAAAACGCTGGTTCCGTGCAAACAGCCAATTTCTCCTCGCTGCTGCTTGCTCCTGCCTAGCTCCGCACCCGGGGACTTGATGCGGTTGCCCCCATGAGACCTCGGAGAGAGGGCAGGGCAGGAAGCCCAGTCCTTGGGAAAGAGTTATAGTTCCCCAAGGACCAAGCTGTGGATTTTGCTACAGATCAACTCAGAGACCATCCTGCTAACTTTTACCAAGGAAATAGCTTTCTGCCGCTTGTTTTGGACTGCCAGCCACGTCTATTTCCACGAACTTTTTCAAGAAACTCCAGACTCCAAGTTTTCAAATAAAATGATAATTTTCTTTTATTAAATATTTGGGATGAGGGATGGGGGCGGGATCTTTTCCTGTATGAAATATATTGATTGTGCATGTATGAAATATCCTTTGCCCTCCTGCCTTTCCCCATGCTCTTTGCCCCAGAAAAAGTGTGACCAGAGACTGTTTAGTGCCTGAGGGAGAGCCATTGTCTCTCCCCCCCCCCCCCCCCCCCCCCCCCGAAACCAACCCTGCCACCAAACATCAGCATGGACAATAACCAGTCGAAACATCCTTTGTCTGTTCTCTGAGTCTGTCTGACGTCAAGGAAGTTTCTTTGGACATTTTGATTGATTTACAAAGGGACAAGGCCGCCCCAGGGGTCCCCTCGTCCCGGACCTGTTTGTTTCCTTCACAAAGACCCATCAAGGACACTCCTTATCTGATCTAGGACAGGAAAACCTTTCTTAAGAAAATCAAGCCTTGCCGGCCAAACAATGCCTCAAAAATTTCAGCTGGCCGGCAAGGGATAATCCCATCATCTTCCCCATTGTCCGCAATTGGCCCGCCTCCTCTCTTCTGATTCGTCCATCTTCGGAAGCGAAAAGAGCGCGCTGATTGGTTCCCCAGAGGCGGGGAAGCTCACTGATTGGCCCAGAGCAAGGCGGGCCGCCAAGCCTCCTCCCAGCTGTTCAGGCTGTCAGCCAATCAGCGCGAAGCCAGGCGGGGAAGGAAGGGTGGGAAATTTGAAATGTTTTTCTGTAAAATGCCTATAAAAATGCCTGTAAACTCTGTATTGGTATGCTTGTAGTGGAAATATCCCTACAATTGCATCCGATCTCAGCTGAATCGCTAATAAAGAACCTCGGTCGCCATCTTCTTCCGCTTTGGTGGGGAATTATAATTTTTAATATTTTATGCTGTTGGAATTGGCTTCTCTGCCCTCACCAAGGTCCAAGGGCCCTCTTTGGTGCGGTCCTCGGGATCTCCTCTGCCGGGGAGATCCTTCCAAAAGCACTCTCGATATCACTTCTTTAGGGGTCCCTTTCAAATCTGTGATACTTTATCTCCGTGTGCGAGAATCATATCGAGCTATCTACATCTATGGCTGGGTGGCTCTTTGTCAGGAGGGCTTTGATTACGTTTTCTTGTCCTGGTGAAGGGAGTGGGACTGGATGGCTTTAAGTATTTTCTGTTGGTCATGGGGGTTCTGTGTGGGAAGTTTGCCCCAATTCTGTCATTGATGGGGTTCAGAATGCTCTTTGATTGGAGGTGAACTATAAATCCCAGTAACTACAACTCTCAAATGTCAGGGTCTATTTCCCTCAATCTCCATCTGAGTTTACATTTGGGCATATGGAGTATTTGTGCCAAGTTTGGTCCAGATCCATCCTTGTTTGAGTCCACAGTGCTCTCTGGATCTAGGTGAACTACAACTCCCAAACTTAAGGTCAATGCCCACCAAACCCTTCTAGTGTTTTCTGTTGGTCATGGGAGTCCTATATGTCATGTTTGGTTCAATTCCATCATTGGTGGAGTTCAGAATGCTCTTTGATTGTAGGTGAACTATAAATCCCAGAAACTACAACTCCCCAAATCAAAATTTTTTGAGTGATGGACATACATTGAGTTGTTAGGTATATGCTGTCCAAATTTGGTGTCAATTCATCCAGTGGTTTTAGAGATATGATATTATAATAATATATTTATATTACATGGGATGGCATCCTTGAAGTGACTGGACTGACCTTGAAGGAGCTGGGGGTGGTGACGGCCGACAGGGAGCTCTGGCGTGGGCTGGTCCATGAGGTCACGAAGAGTCGGAGACGACTGAATGAATGAACAACAACAACAACATTACATGTAATATTACTAATAATATTACCATGTAATGGTATAGTACAATATAGTAATATATAATACTGATATTGTACTATGCTAATATAATATATTGTATATACATATAATATCTACAATATTATAATGTTACACAATATAGTAATAAGAATATGATATTATAATTATATATTTATATTACATGTAATATTACAAATAATATTACAATATAATAGTATAGTACAATATAGTAATATTTAATACTGATATTGTACTATGCTAATAATATAATATATTGTATGTATATATATCTTGTAAGCTGCTCTGAGTCCCCTTAGGGGTGAGAAGGGCGGCATATCAATGTCATAAATAAATAAAACCCAGTTCAAACGAACAAACGAACATTACATTTTTATTGTAGCCATCCCCTGCCACATGTTGCTGTGGCCCAGTCTGTGTATATGTGTTTTATGTGTGTATATGTGTGTGTTTGCATATATATATGTGTGTGGTTTTGCGCATGCGCTGTAATGTATTTTATGTGGATGAAACATCAGGAGAGAATGCTTCTGGAACATGGCCATACAGCCCGCAAAACTCACAGCAACCCAGTAATTCCGGCCATCAAAGCCTTCAAGAACATATTGCCAACCTTCAGGTCAGCAGTTAAGCAGCCCAAGGGTTTATCCCATGGCACCGCCCTGACCCCATATGTAGAACATACAAACTTATTTCCACATTTGTATAGACAGATTAGGACTTGGGTTGCATGTATCCCACGTCGAACCTGACTTTTAAAAAAGAAATTAATTGCACAGTTCAAAAATCCCCACAGTCACCATTACAGTTTTAATTTACCCATAGTAAGACCTGGCTTTGATAGTAAAATCTTATATATAGTTCTGTGTTTTATGAGTGTTACTATCAACTCCCATGAAGTCCTGGATTTTGCTGTAGGCAGATATCACTTTATTTTATCTTTTCCAGAAGGAAAAATGAATTAGGTCAAAGTTTATCGGGAGGCTCTATCTCTAGACAACTTAATCGTTTGTTTGTTCAGGACATTGTTGTTGTGGAGATAATGCCTTTGTTATGATGAGGTTTATTACAAGAATAGTACAGGGCAGATAGTAAAAGGCTAGACAGCAAAAGGAACTGATGGACTTAAGTTAGGGCAAACTTTATATATACTTATCGTAATAGTCATTGGGTGAGTAAGAAATGCCTCTAACCTTTGGCCGCATCTACAGTGTCATTCTATGCAGTCTAAAACTGCATCATATGGTCAATGTAGACTAGGCATGAGCAAACTTCAGCCCTCCAGGTGTTTTGGACTTCAACTCCCATCATTCCTAACAGCCAGTAGGCTGTTAAGAATGGTGG